GTTGGGTCACGTGACAACGTTGGGAGTCGGGGCAAGTGTCAGAAAAAAAAAAAAGAAGAAACTTCTTTCCGACCCGCTTATTGGACGAGCGCTCTCCCCAAAACCAAAACCAAAAACATCCCAAACTACATACAAACGGAACTTGGGAAGGAACCAAAAACTAAATCGGCATTCTCTCATAGTAGGAAACAGTTACAACCTCACCCCCTCCTTGCCATCGCGCAACCCGCAGTCGAGGATTCGTTCTATTGCAGAGGCGTCGGGACCCCCCGTTGCATCGAAAAAAAGCGAAGCTCTCCGTTCCTTCAGTCTGGCCTGATGAAACACTCTCGACTTCCACCGGGGGACCATTGTCCAGAAACTCTTGGGTCCAGGATCCCCCCCCCCCCCGCCTTCAATCGCAGCCGTGTGTCCCGACCCCAGCCCCCTTAACGCTTGCGCGAGGAGAGCCGAACGGAACTCCCGGCACTGGCACGCCGGGACACAGACTCACGAGCCGTGTCGACCCCCACAGCAGCCGCCCCCGCCGCCGATGCCCCCGCCCCACCGCCGCTAGCGGTGCCCGCTCCCCCGCCAGACACCGCCGTCCCGCTCGAGAGCCGCTGCGAAGCCCTCGCCTGGCGCGGCGCGCTAGGGCGCGGGGAGGTTCCGCGTGTGGGGTTACCTTCACGGGCTGTACAACAATCAAAAGAATCAAGTCGCAACGGAGGAGCAGCAGCAGCGGACGGGAAGGGGGGGAGAGGACATGTCGCTGTCCAGTCGTAGGTCTCATGAATGCATGGAAGGTGCCCGGCGCTACACACAGCACGGCGGTGTCTGCGGTCTCCGGAGATGGCCGACGACTAAGCAACACTCCCAAAAAATATGTACCCCCCCCATCCCCCGTATCCAAGCTGTTCGTGGAATGCACACATGTCCAAGGAGCTGAAAGGGCAAAGCACGAGCAGGCGAGTCGCACCCAATACTCGCAAACCGGCACCTCGATATACGCATCAAAATTGACAGTTTTGAAGAGCGCAATCACACCGCCGCTATGTACAGTGCGCTGGAGAAGGATGGGAAGGATATAACAAGTAGTCAAAAGCTCGAGGCGGCGCAGATGAAAGCAGGGAAAACCATCCTACAATAGGATGCTCCAAGCCCACAAGTAATACATCCGTCAGGGCAGCACTGGGGATCCAATCCCTACGATCTGGAAGAGACGCAAGGAAGCTAAAATGGAAGTATCGCATGTACGGGATGGGAGAGGAGAGGTTGCCGAGAATAGCTTGGGACGCAAAGTGGGCAAACAACAAGATGGGTAAGCAACCCACGGAGTGGGTCAAGGTTGCAGAGGACGTATTGAAGGAGTTCGAAATTGACGAAGAAGGTGATACGCTGGAAACGGAAGGTCTATCGGGGTTCAAGAAGACATCTATTGCTTTTGCCGAGAGAAAAGAACAGAATATCACTCAAAAAACCAAGTACAAGGAGGGTCTAGATGTGTACGGAATGTTGGGAATAGGGTTCAAGGAGTACCCACATGGACCGGACAAGCTGAAGGTTAATTCAGGACCGGGGACATTGCCTTTGAGAATGTAGACGAAGATATGGGGAGGTAGACGGTCAAGACGACAAGTTCAAATGTCGGTTACGAGTGCGAAGACCGGGTTCATGTAGTTACGGAATGTCCGTTGTACAAGAAGGAGATGGAAGTGTACATGACTGAGCTGGGAAAAGTAGAAGGGAGATACAGGGAGATGTTTGAGGCATAGAATAGCCAGGACAAGGCGGTAGCTGTACTGGGACATACTAAGTGGGGTGAAGAGGCGGGAAGGGAAGTGATATCGATAGGATAGATAGGCTAGGGAAAACACTTTTGAGCCACCTTTGGCAAAGCAGGAAGGAACGATCGGCCATCGGTGTTCGGCCCTGTGGGAACAATGCTCTGTCCTCTCGAAGACGCGTGGTCAATGGTCTAACCGCTATTATAAAGAGTACGCCCCCCCCCCCCCCCCCTTCATCCTCCCATATCTTAAGCTTACCCGAGCTCCGTTCCGATCTTCCTTTCTTGCCCCCCCGTTCCTCCTTGGCACCCTTGGCCTTGGTACTCTTTGTCGTAGACGCCACCGTAGACACTGATGACTGGGAGCCGGATTTCGTCTTCCCCCTCTCGCGGAGCTGATTCCTGGCGCTCCTGCACATGGGGCGGCGGAGGCGGCGGCGGCGGCGGCAAGGGTGTCATCCATCACCGCAAAACATCGGCGCAAAAACGAACACGGCTCCACGGGTGCTGTGCTAATCAGGAGCCGGTATCCAAGTACGGCAGGTAGAGCTATTCGGACACTTGGAAGATAATGCAGACCGCGCCGCCAATCACTGCATCGTCCCGACAGCAGTGCAGAAAATGTCCCCCAACTAGAAGTAGTTACACGACGTGTCTTGCTAGCTTTGCAATGGGCACCATCCTCGGGCACCCGCCGTGTGTTGTACTCTTTCCTATGGGCGAAACCTGGACACGCATGGGCTAAAATTTGATCAGTCACGCACGTCCACATTACCGCCCTTACACGGCGTGCAAGGTGTAAGAAGAGTCGTCCTCGCTTAAAGGATACCATCGTTTTCAGGAGCATGGTGCCCCGCAGAACGTGAAAAAATAATACAAGGGCCGGGGACGCAGGGGGCTGCCGGCTGCCGCCCCCCTCGTTCCCCGTCTGAGAGTGGATGTGTGCATATGCAATGGTAAATGTGAGAGCAGTTGCAGGCTTCAAACGCAATACCAAGTGGGACGGGCGGTGGCTGAGGTAGTGTGCAGCAGACAAGAACTAAGATGCAGCTTCGAAGTCGGAAGAAAGCGCTCAAGTGCTGCTGTTGTTGCATACACAGGTATATTGCTCTTTGAACTTATTGCTACGCGTTGAAGCCGGGCGTACACATCAACACGACATCGCGACGATGTGTGCCAGCCTATCCGTCGTCCGCATGTAACTTTGGCGAACACCTGTAGTTATCGCTCTGTGTGGCTCAAACAGCAGCTGCAGTATTATATAGTATGTTTCGCACACACGTCACCGTTTTCACTAGAAAAACAACACAGGAATAATAAATATTCCGATTTTCGTGAATCTCGGAACATCCGGCCAGTTGCCATTTCTTCACATTTTTGGGGGAGATGCTTGCCCACTTTTGGTCGCACGCATATTGCAACGTGTACACAGCAGCAGGTCCGCACCACACGATGGTGTAGCAAGTGCTTATGTACCATTTCGTAATAAGTACCCAAGAGGTAGACATGCGTGTTTGCTTGTTATGCTATTATAGACATTGTTCCGACTTTCCGAGTTCTGCGATAAATTCCCGAAAATACACCGATAGAACGTTCCGCCCAATCACAGCCTCACAGCAGCGCTTACTGACAGCCTCGCTTGAAGAGGTCCGAGGTGCCAATGCAGGTGCTAACACGTGGCTTGGAGCGGTTCCGCCGGCGCCGGCAGCTCGTCCGGTGCTCGGCACCCGGCGCCCTTAGCGGCGCGTCTCACTGAGAGAGGGCGTCACGTGGGCTCCGCGGAGAGGGAGGCCGGGCGGCGCCCTCTACGGCGCGAGCCGCGATGTCACGCTATCGTGTCGGCTTGAGAGTAGGCCTAATCTCGTCGTTTCGCTCTCAGGCGTCGCTGTGAGGCCTGAGGGCCGCGCTTGAGCTTGAGCTAATGTTCCCTACCTCTATACACAGGTACGGATACCCTCCCCTGCCTTTAAGGACACTGCTGTTAGTGAAGAAAAAACTGTCTTTCAGCTGTAGTCAAATCGAGACGGGCGCACAACGCCAGCGCCGTGCTAACAAAAGACAGCGAGCGGTCGACACGTGGCGGTTGACGGGGTACACAGCGGCAAACGCACAAAAACAAAGCCGGTGTACTTCTCTTCCACCTGATCTATCAGAAAGCCACCGACCCCTCACCTCGCCCGGACCATGCCCGCAACCAGCTCCTCCATGTTCGCGCCGAGATCTGCGGTTCCCCCGCCCCCGCCGCCCTCTGCCCCTCCCCCCGCCCCCCCCCCGC